GTTCACATGCTCTCCCGAACGCGCGCTTTTTTGCTTGTGCAGCTCATTGGACTCATGCTGAAGTCGAAGAAAGGCAACATTAAGAACCTTGGCACATATGTGGTCAAGGTCAGAATGCTCAGACTTGTCCGATCAACCCACTTAAGTCTGCCTAAGCGTAAAAAACCTGACCATTCGGAAAGCAACTCCGAGGAACCAGTAGCGAAGCGTGCCATCAGAGAGCAAGACAACTTGGAAACTGAAGAGGATGATCTGGGCAACAATTCTGGCGATGACAAGGCTGAATCTGATCTCGAGATTGTGGGAGAGAATGATGTTCCCCATCCTATCGCATGTATCCACGCACCACCAATGAGGAGGAGATGGAGGCGAACATCATCAGAGCTCTCGAATCAGTTCCCATTGAGTTGATGCGGCAGTTTTTGGTCTGATTGTTGCGCTTCACGGATGGATATTACCGCGGCCTCAATGGTGCCGATGCTGCATGGGCAAATAAAAAGTATCGGGGTCATCAGACCCTCCCACCTCAGTATCTGGAGGTCCTGAGGAATAGAGATTTGTCTAAATCGCTCTGTATGTACTCTACAACCCAAAATTCCCATTTCAAGATTCATGCCTCCAGAATTTCGCGTTTCCCACGTTACATGTCACACATCAGTCACATGCACGTGACTCGATGGATCTGCATGATGCCTATCTTAGCTCCCAATCTCATCTATCAACCGGTGCTAATGCAGGGGTTCCTGGCCCTAGCTCGCAACCAGATTCCTCAAACACGGGTGCTTCTGACGATCTAGACAAGGATGCATGCATAGAGAAGCTATGCCGGGAAGAGGGAGTAGAGCTCATCATGGCGCTGCTGTCAAAAGCAGTTCCAAATGAGAACCTACCTGATATGTCCAAAATTTGCAATTGGACGTTCTGCGATATCAAGTGGTTGCCTTTTGAACAACAGAAAGGTTGGATTGATGCTTGCCGCAACAAGTAAGAGGCACTTTGTCAACACAAGGTCTATTCCCTTGTGGACTGTTCGAAAGGACGTAAGGTTATCAGATGTCGCTGGGTCTTTGGCCAAAAACGTGCCCGCCTAGTTGCCAAGGGTTTCAGTTAAGTCGAAGGTGTTGACTATGACAAGATATTCTCTCCTGTTGTTAGGTATGAGACGTTCCGGTTGGTCATGGCGCTTGCAGTGCTCAATGATTGGCATTGGTCTAGACTCGACGTCAGTAAGGCTTTTCTCTATGGAGAGCTTGACAAAGAGGTCTACATGGAACAACCCAAAGGCTTTGTGGCAAGAGGCCAAGAGCACAAAGTCATGCACTTGCACAAGGCAATCTATGGACTCAAACAAGCTGCTTTAGCATGGTGGAAAGCGCTGACCAAGTCCACAAAAGCCATGGGCTGGATCCGACTAACATTGGATGCCAGTGTGTTCTTCTACAAGGACTCTGATGGCAGCATAGCCATTATAATAGTCTATGTGGATGATGCACTGTTCTTCTCCAAGAACAAGAAGCTTCTCACCTTTCTCAAGGCTGAGTTCAACAAGTGATGGGAATGCCGCAATTCTGAAGATACTCCAGAGTTCTTGCACGTACGCCTCAGTAGAGTAGGATCTTCAATCAAAATTGATCAGATTCCTTATCTTGACAAGGTGCTAGAGCGCTTTGGAATGCAGAACGCCAAGTTTGCAGCGACCCCTCTACCAGCTGGATATGTTCTGATGCCAAACAAGAATGAAGTTGATCCAGAGCTCAGGAAAAAATTCCAATCAGTAATTGGATCTCTTCTCTTCATCATGCTAGGCACACATCCTGACATTGCATTTGCTGTGACTAAATTGTCACAATTTGCTGCCAATCTGTCCCAAGACCACCTCCATAAAGCACTGTATATCTGCCGCTATTTGGCTGGTACTAGGAATTATTTGCTCATTTTCAATGGTGCGACGGATAGAGGGCTAATTGCATTTAGCGATTCAGACTGGGCTGCTGATCCAATCAAGAGGAGATCTACCACTGGTTTCTTCACAAATTGGCAGATGGGATTATTTGCTGGCAGTCTAGACTTCAGCGCACTGTTGTGCAGTCTTCGACCAAAGCAGAGTACATAGTGATCTCAGATTGTAGTCGCCAGGTGATGTGGCTGAAGAGCATCCTTTCAGAACTCCAGCTCAAGCTCACCATCCCAGTACCCATTTGCGGTGACAATCAGGGTGCACTCTTCAGTGGCAGCAATGCCTACCGAGACCACAGGATGAAACACATAGACATCCGCTATCACTACATCTGTGAGCGAGTCGAGGAAGAAGAGGTTGAACTGTTCTTTATCCCAGGCAGTGAGAATCCTGCAGATATGTTCACCAAGAACCTAGAACGCGTCAAGTTTGAGAAGTTCAGGTCCCAACTAGGACTTGAGTTCAACTCGTCCTGAAGATTTTGCCAATGAAGATTTTGCTTGCAAACACTATCCCATGGTTTTTAGCGTGGAGAGTGTTGATCAAAAGATCATCTTATCATCTGCCAGATGGATTTTGTGATACACATCTTATGACTCCATCACATGTCATCTAGAGTTATGCTGACTCATATCAAATAGATACAAATAGCCCCCTGTATTGTATATAAGGAGGGCTCTATTACCCTGTAACCTAAGTCTCTTGACTACTCCCGCATAGTGCCCACACTAAGCTCTCAACTCACACAGGTGGGTTGCTAGACGCTCTCCCCAGTGCTCAACACAGTATAACCAGCAAGGTCAAGGAGGTTGTTGTACTTGTCTATGTACTTGAACACGTTGCAAAAGCCCATATAATATAGATGGGTTTTGAGTTGTGCTAAGGTGTAGTCTTGCTTGTTCTCCTCAACAAATTGGAGCTTGAACTTGGTGACAAAGAGAGCCCAAGTGGGGAATGGGAATGAGTGTGCTTGAACATGCACTTGGACCAAGAAGCTGCAGAGTCTTTGGACATACAGGATAGGGCAAAGTGAACTACCTTTTCCTCAGAGACTGCCCCATTCACAAAGAACACCTTGGGAAGCAGACGCCAGTACTGCTTCACTGAGTGCAAGAAGCTCTTGCCCAGGGTGCAATCCCCATCAAAGGGGAAAGAGGGTTGGTATAAAGGCAACCTCGAGACCCAACCTCACAGTTCTGGCAAGGGAGAATCCAAAGGTGAATAAATGGGTAGCTAGGTACAAAACCAGCATACCTGGCAAGGGAGAATCCAAAGAGAAACCATGTTGGGGATTCTCTTTGCCAGGCAACACTACTTATATGATACAAGAACAATAAACCATGCAGCAACAAACATGAACAATAGAGACAATAAGTACAATGGCCATCAGAGAACAATAGAAAATGGAGACAATAGCACTGCGGGGGGACTTAATTTTTCTCCGTGGAAAATGCGTGACAATCTAGAAGTCCGATTTTCACCGTTATGTTTTCAGACAAAATATATATATTGAAAATAGACGTCGATTTACAGCTCGATTTTTACCATGAATAGACATCTATTCCTCCCGAAAACAGAACTGTAAATAGATCATCTTTTTTTTGATCGATTCCCACTGGGAATAGACATCGATTTTCAATGAAAATAGAGACAAAGAAAAGATAATCTTTTTTCACTGAAAACAGATTAAAACCACTGGAAGAATCTGTTGATTCTGGCCCCAATTTGCATCCCTGGCCTTGCAAAAGGCTACTGGATGCTACTCACAACATGTTGGAATCATGCTGCAGGACTTGCGATGTGAATTGGGGCCGGAATCAACAGATTCTTCCAGTGGTTTTAATCTGTTTTCAGTGAAAAAAGATCATCTTTTCTTTGTCTCTATTTTCATTGAAAATCGACGTCTATTCCCAGTGGGAATCGATCAAAAAAAAGATGATCTATTTACAGTTCTGTTTTCGGGAGGAATAGATGTCTATTCATGGTAAAAATCGAGCTGTAAATCGACGTCTATTTTCAATATATATATTTTGTCTGAAAACATAACGGTGAAAATCGGACTTCTAGATTGTCACGCATTTTCCACGGAAAAAAATTAAGTCCCCCCGCAGTGTAGAAACAATGGAGGTCACATAGTCAGGCCACCACACCATGTGATGCATTTGGCAGATGGCACATACTTGATCACATGCAAGATCCCATGATAATTGGATCAAAGAAGGGGTTCCCCTGACATGTTCCGGCAATCATTAGCCTCAACATCTGAGTTGTAACATTATGTGACAGTACACACTGTGATGTTGCTGAGGCTCATTATGCACTTGAAATAGCATATTGAGTACATCTTAAGTAAGGTATAGCTCCATTCTTCCACTGAGTCTTTTCCTGGGACCTCTGAGCCAAGAGGAGTGTCAGAAAAGGCAAATGAGATTATATAGAGTCAAGTTTGATGTGTCAGCAACACTCATTACTTAAATCTATTTGTCCAATCTCTTATTCCCATTGCACAATGCAATTTGAGATATTGCCTTGCTTGTCAAGGCTTCTCCACCCTCATAATTGGCTCGATTTCGTCGGACCCGGCTTCCCCCGCTGTTCCGTTCCTCTCCGTGCTCTTCCTGTCTGTCTCGAGTTCGACCCGCCGTAGTTGCCCGTATCAAAGAAAAAATTAGAATTAATTTTGATATCAAATAGCAAGGCAGAATGTCGGCGGAGCCGACGCTTTCTAGTATAGAAATCAGTTCAAAAAACTCTGGAGGGACTGGTGCTGTACAGAGAGCTAGTGACTGGAATAACCAACCCATTGTGTTTTAACTGACCCGATGCGATCAATGGTATGGACACCACTAAATCTGTTCAGGCTCTCTGTGATGGCATCACATCACACATAAGCAAACAACTTTCGCAAGTCGTTGGATCCCTCCGCCGTCGTTGTCGGTGGCGGCCCAGTTATCGGCCAATAACATTAGCCGTCGTAGCTGTGGTCTGCAACCCTTGTCACCTCTATCTAAACCCATCTTCATCTCTCCTCTCCTCTGGGACGATGGCTGCCGACGACATCACACTGACCCCGCCCGTCACCACCGCCAAACTCAGACGAGACCCTCCACCGGCCTTGGATATTACTGTGCAGTTCAATACCGCTGAGGAACGCGACCCAAAACGCCAGGTTTGCACTTATTTCACCGGTCGGCAACAGAGTTCTCACAAAGCAATCGCGCAGCCTAGCGTTCTCGTCACACCCACAGGCGAGCAGGAGGATTCAGAGCCCGATTTTACCTCTCTTCCTCGCTCAGTTTCTGCCACCTCATCTCTCGATCCGTATTACTTTGGGCTCTCTGACTCCCCGGTCCCGCCTCTTCCCACAGGACATCTGCATATCAGCACCACTCCGGACCAACTCCACTCCTCATATACTTCCGATCCCGTTACACCGGCTAAAGATCCGGCGCTCATCGACCGACGAGGTCTCATTGGGGTAGGGGAACTAACCACCCCGCGCTGGACGCGCTCTTCCCACAACAAGGAGGACACGGTCACCCCAGTATTGGATTCAGTCGGGGAAGGATACGAAGATCACATTGGCGACGGAGATCTTCCTGATGATCATCCAGACAGTCCGTGGACGATAGAGGCAGTGGATGGGGAAGTCTCTGACCCAGAACAGGTGTGCTTGGTTCAATACTTTCACGTTGTACTTAACCCTCTCTAGGCTCAGGAAGTTAAGCCTGCTGCGAGAACACTTCGGGAGAGACCTTCCATGACCGAAGAGAGCGGGGGAGAAGAGATCCTCTATCCACGATCCGGCCTCATGGGACCGGTACCCGAGCTGCCATCTGCAGTCCGCTCGTCTAGTGAGATCACCCAAGCCGACGAAAAATACGTCGCTGCCCCGCTCGATTTAGCCATTTCCATTGTTGAAGCATCGCCGCCGAGTTCTTTTGCTCAATCACGCAAAGCTAGGAAGCGGAGTTCGGATGAGTTTGAGCACGACAACTCGGGAAGTCTTGTATCGAATAGAGCGAGCTCGGGACCCTCGAAGGAACGGGTTTCGAGGGACGAAAAGTTCTCGACACGCAAGCATCGCAGCCTGAACGTGGGGAGCCCTACTCGAACCAAGGAACGACGTCGCGAAAGTTTGGGTTTGTCGCACAGCAGCAGCCTTGTCGCCGCTAGCACGGCGAAGGGTTCCGAGCGACATTCGCGCCAGGCATCAGCAAGCTCAGTGTCTTCAACCCAGCGGGGGCATAATACCGATTTCTCTCATCTTCCGCCTTCACCATCCTCGACTTCGATTCTTAGCTTTCTGAAGCACCAAGGTCCTAACGTCCCATCACAGACCCCGCCCTTGGTCTCTTCTAGCTCACGTGACAGCACGCAATCGCATTCCTCTCCCAACGTTGCACACTCGCTGTTGAGAGGCACCCAGGAGGGCTGGTCCGGTCTTGACGACGAAGCGACAACCGAAGCACTGCGTAAACTAGACGGGCTGAGTGGTAAAAGCGCGCGTGCTCGAGCCAGTGTGGCCAGCTTCACTCGGTCCAGCAGTCGTCCAGGGACCCCGGCCAAGGCCAGCGGTCAATGGGAAGGCATTGGCCTGATCGAGAACAACCGCCGCGACAGTGTTGTTGACGGCAGCATCATCGACAGCGGTGCTGTTGACAGCAGCGATCTCATAGGCAGTGCCCTCAGCAGTGACGAGCAGCCGTTGGGTCCCTCTAATACCGAGAAGACACCGAAGAAGGGCACGACCAGTGCGCGCTCTAGCTTCACTCCGAAGCGGGGTTCGACTTCCTCAACGACTTATGCTAGCACGCCGACAACAAGCTCGCGCGATTCAGCGCAGATGTCTGTCACGACCGCCGCAACATCAGTTTCGGCTGCCTCAAGCCGCCACTCTCTGGGAAAGACCAGTCGCAATAGTATCGGCAGTGATGCATCGAGCATACACTCTAGTGAGGCTACCTCCCTTAGAGAACGCGTTGCTGCTCTCGCCACTGCTGGAGAGCCCCCTGAGGAAACGCCAGTCCCCCCTGTCCCTCCTCTGCCGAAAGATCTCTCGACATATCGATCGCCTCCGCCGACCTCGATTGGGTTGACTTTTCCTGCCTTGCAGGACGACAGAAGTGAACGCGTTCACGTAGTTTCTCTCGAGGTGCCCAGCGCGGGAAATCCAACTATCGTTGCTTCGCAGCCTTACTCCGCTGGCTATACCAGTCAAACTTCGTCGGGACCCGAGTCATCGTCTGCGCTTCCCAAAACTCCATCGAAGAAATGGAGCATTTCGAACGCCCTCAATCTAAGGTTATCGAGTTCCCCTTCCTCCGGTGCTGTCTCCAGTCCCAAGTCGCCACGTGCTGTCACGTTCGGTGGTCAGCACTCGCGCAAGTCTTTGTCCAAGGAGAAAACCTTATCTCCTGCGCAAACCGGAGGCAATCCCTGGGAGCAGCCTGCAGCAATGTCTTCTGCTGCTTCTTTGACATCTCTCTCTTCAGTTGGCTCGGTCCGGAGCCCGGGTCTGCTCAGGAAGACCCCTGACCGCGGCGCCGTCGCCAGCCGTACTGGCACAGATTCAAGCGCCAGTACGAACAATACCACTGCTGCACTTTCGCCGCAGAGCGTTCCAATGAGCCCAGGGTCATCCATGCGACGCAATCAGTCCAAGCGACTCACACCTTCTTCTATTCCGTTCTTTCGCCGTTCTTCGTCCCAGTCCATGCAGATTCCAGCCCCGGCTCCGTCGGCTTCGTCGCCGACTCAATCGTCGTCGAGATCTGCGAAAGCAGATTCGGACTATAATCCAGCCGTCTCGACCTCGACACCTGGCAAAAAATCTTCTGTTCTCTCACTTCTCAAGGGTTCTAGCTCAAGACGGAGTCTGCATGCTGATTCAAAAGAGGCTGCCAAAGAGTTGCAGAGACTTAAGGACGCAGAGAAAGATAAGGAACGGTTGGCAAAAGCAGCAGAGAAGGAGAGGCTTAAGAAAGAGGAACGGGATCGCAGCGAGAGTAGGATATCAGTTCTCATGGGCCGGAAACGGGGCAAGGTATGTTGCATCTTTCAATTTTCATTCTCATCTACTGACTCTACGTCCAGACGTTGTCATCGACTGATCCTCCTGCGCGCAAAGTCAAGTCTCCGGTCCACCTTCCTCCGCTACAGATGGCCGCCATTGAACCAGTCACAGCCCAACGCGTCGCTCGACTCAAGTCGTCGTCGACTAGTTCATCGCCGGCTTCCACACCAAGTGTTAGTTCCAGGACTGCTTCTGCATCTAGAATCACGTCAGCCACTGTAAGCTCGATGCAAAAGCAGTCTGACAGCTCTCTGCGGACCCGGAACCAGCTCCCTACAATCGCAGGTTCTCCGTCGGTGGCAGGAGGAGCAACCGTGAAAGATGTCAAGGAGCCGCCTCCAGTGTCGATGAACAACTCCGTTTCAGGTCTCCCGAAGGAAACGCCTACCAAGATCCCTCGCATTTCGAGCAGAACTTCAACCGTCAGCTCGCCCTTGCAGAGAAATCATGTCGGAAGTCGGCGAGCTAGTGCAACAATTGGTCCTTCCTCCAATAACCCATCGCCGACCATCTTGTCTACGAACGAGTTCGGTGTAATCGATGGCGAAGACGTTCAAGGTCAACACGCTGTCAAAACGATCACTCGGACCGGGTCGATCCGGGCATCGCCAGCAACATTATCGACAGCGGGTGCGTCGACAGGAACCGGAACGACATCCCGAGTTGCGCGGCAATCGACTGGTACTGCCGCGTCTAGTTCATCCACTATGCTGACTCGCAAGAACCGGGAGTCGGTCTCCTTCACGGGCCTGCGCAAGTCGTCGACGACGTCCGGCCCGGCTCCAGAATCGTCGTCGAACAGTCACAGGTTCTCAGCTCTTTCTCCCTCGCGGGGGTTGAAACTTTTGAGCCCCAAAATTGGACTTTCATCGAGCAAGAACTCGAATTCGACTTCAACTCAAAGCATACATCAGGTTGCCAACTCACCGTCCTCCAGCAGACAATCTCTTTCAACCCCGTCGCCCGATCCCGCTAGCCTCGTCGACGAGGAGGAAGTGGCCGCGGACGAGGAAATGATGCAGTATATCCGTAGGCAGCAGGCGAAGAAATTGCAGGCGGGTGCCAGCCAGGAGGAACTTGACGACTTGTTACGCTTTCCCGAACCCTTGGCGCCTGGCACTGCCTACTCTCCAGCAGCCATTCTCGGAGGCAGCCAGAATCAATATCTTTCCGCCTATGAGCGGAAAGAGATGCTCGACTTTCCTTCCGTTTACTTCATCGGACCTCAGAGTAAGAAGAAACCGGCAGTTCCCGAGATTTCTACCAACAATTATGGCTATGACGATGACCGGGGAGATTACCTGGTCGTCAACCACGACCATCTGGCATACCGCTACGAAGTGATCGATACTCTGGGCAAGGGATCCTTTGGCCAGGTTTTGCACTGTCGAGACCACTGCACCGGCGAGTCAGTTGCGATCAAGATCATCCGGAACAAGAAGAGATTCCACCATCAAGCTATTGTGGAGATCAAGATCTTGGATAATCTGCGGAAATGGGTATGCTTCCCCCTCGTTCGTTGACGGGGATTTGACCGGTCCTAAGGATCCTGACGAGAAGCACTATGTTATCAAGATGACCGAGCACTTTTACTTCCGGAATCATCTGTGCATCGCCATGGAATTACTGAGCATCAACCTGTACGAACTGATCAAGGCCAATAATTTCGCTGGCTTCACGACCACTCTCATCCGGCGTTTCACGACACAAATGCTGATGTCCCTTTCGCTCATGCGGCACCACCGGATCGTACATTGCGATCTCAAACCAGAGGTGAGCACTTGCGCACATCTCAATTTCCGTCCTAAGCTTGTGGCAGAACGTCTTGCTCCGGCATCCTGCGAAGAGCTCGATCAAGGTCATTGATTTTGGCAGCAGTTGTCTCGAGCACGAGAAAAGTGAGCGATCCCGCTTGGCTCCTTGGCCGCTAGAACTCAACTATTTACAGTCTACACATATATTCAAAGTCGATTCTACCGTTCCCCCGAAGTGATTTTGGGCATGAACTATCACATGGCCATTGACATGTGGAGTTTGGGTTGTATTCTGGCGGAGCTGTTCACAGGTTTTCCAATCTTTCCTGGTGAGAATGAACAAGAACAGCTGTCGTGCATAATGGAGGTTCTGGGTATCCCGGATAAAGAATTTGTGAACAAGAGTTCGCGCAAGAAGTTGTTCTTCGGTCAGTGCCCAAATCTGCTGCTGCTGATCGTTTCTAAACGACGTACAGATCCAAACGGTGCCCCCCGAGTTGTTGTCAACTCAAAGGGTCGGCGAAGACGACCTGGTACGAAGACGCTGGCCCAAGTGCTGCGGTGCACCGATGAAGACTTCATTGACTTCATAGCGAAATGCCTCATTTGGGATCCGGAGCGACGGATAAAGCCGCAAGCCGCACTGCGCCATCCGTTTGTAGTAGCCGGGAAACGGCCTCGACCGTTGGCAACCCCGGCAGCGACGCTCAGAGCTGGGTCCTCGTCCAACCTAGCTGCCTCGACTCTTGGCAGCAGCCGAACAAAGCACGTGATGGAGACTCCCAAAAAGTCGCTGATCAGTGCGCCCACGCCGTTGACGGCGCGGACTTCGCGAACGACGACCTCGGGCAATGTACCCACAACCCCCAGCAACTCTTCGCAGCCATCCACCGTCGGCTCCTCGCGGTCATATCGAGCAAGTCAAAGCCAGAGTCTGTCGACTTACCACTCGAGCAGGACGGTTACTGTCAGTGAGATCGTTCCTTATCGTGGCTTGTGCTGACGGATTCTCCAGGCTGGGAAGTAGTCATACCCTCCTTTGTACCTCTTATTGTGCTTTCTGTTGTCGTTTTCAATTCTCTAGCGCTTATTCTACTTAATCAATTCACCTCGATTTGGTACACAAATGACATGTCACGGGTCGCCCTCGTCAGTATCGATCCATTGGTCTACATCTGTGGCAGTGAAAGGTCCCGGCGTAAATATTTCGTGTGGGTCTACGCCCATCTCGCCGAGGCCGAGCTCGCTCGCTGTGACGGGAGAACTCTTCGTTCCAGAGCCCAGCCGAAGCTCGTGCAGATGAGCTGTCCTGGCCCATTTTCTTGCACTTCGCGGTGCATGCGATCCATGAGAGATGGAATGAGTGAGTGGAATGGACGCCAGGTGTCGTGTGGGTGTCCCTGGCCGTCGAGGTGTCCGTAACCTCGGACTCTCCAGCCTCACGGTGCCGTTTCCGAGGCTCCGGGTGCGAGACCTCGTGAGAGAGAGATTCAGTCGAGGGGGCCTGTGCTTCGAGACATCCGCTTGGTCTTCAGAACGCGATGGAAAAACCACCTTGGCGGGTGAGTCTTGCTTCGATGTCGGCAGTTCAGGTGGACTGTGGCTCCTCGACTTGAGCTTGCCAACCCAATCCCATTCTCCGCTACCTAATCTTCCAAGGCTGAGATGACGCCGGCCCCAAGATCGGATGGACGACGAAGGCGCGATGACTGGTTCCCCCCGGGAACCTCGGGTGAGGCTCATAAAGATAAGAACAGCAAGCAGCAGCAAGAGCTGCGCAACACCCAATCGTTTCTCCAATACAATCTATATTCTTTTATCAGACACACCGATCGAGGGAGAACAACACAGACCTCGTCAGACAGATATTGCACTTTGCGGAGAAGTTCCAAATATTCAATATGGGTGCTCATTTGCTGGCGTTCCCAATCTCGCAAGGACCGCGCAAGCAGTTGCGCTTGGGCTTTGCCCTTGATTGCGATTGAGTACGTCAGAACAGGAAAATAGGCGAAAGCGACTGACCACACCTTCTGCCCGACCGAGATCTTCGCCGACCCGGCGAAGCATCTCTCGAACAGCACTCGTATGCTCCTCAACATATCGCGCGTATAGTGTGTGATTGGCCTCCAGTGCAGTCAATCGATTCATGATTGTGCGGTAGATGGATTCTCCTCCAGACGGCGCAGTGGTTGAAACAGAGGTCGGCTCTGGGTTGACAAACGTCGTCGGCATTGCCTCCGCAGTGCCCGTGCTGTTTGAATGGAACTCAGTCGTGGATCTCTCTCTTTTTGCCGCAGTGGTTGTCTCTGTGGATTCGGGAGGTTGAACCAACGTCAGATGCTGCGCGATCTCCGATGATGTTTCCACTGATGTTTCAGGATGTTTCGTGCTCTCCAGTTCTGTCGCGGCTGCATCCATGAACTCGGCATAGGAAGGTGGAATACGCACTGGCTCCGGGGCGACAGCAGGCTCGGGCTCGTTCACCTCGAGAGGCACAGTTGGTGCAGCAATTTCGCCACGTTTGGCCCGACTTTCGTCTTCCCAAATCTCCCATTTATATTCCTCCAGATGCGTCAGGCCATAGACTCGAAGCAGGGAGATGGGACAGTAGAACTCGTTGCCGTAATGTGAATGGAAGTCGATTCTTATGTAGCGGTAAAAGTCTCGTAGGGATGTCGGTGGATGAAATGACTAACAAGCGCGATTAAATTGAGCCCTGCAACACCACCCTAGAGCCACACACCTGTACCACTCTTATGTTCTTTGCTGTATGTGTGCTAGCGACCGTCCATCCCTCGGGATCGGTCGTATACGTCTTTGACACGCTGACCGCGAACTTCTTGAATACTCCACTGAAGAACTCGAAATTGGCCAATTGGACTGTGTCGATTCTAATGTCCTCGCAGAGTTCCACGACTATGTACTGCTTTTGGTCTTTGCACGGACTGAGCATGTATTTGTCGCGTTTTGAAGACAAAATCGACGCCGGGGATTTGGCTGAGCGATGAGAGGTATGAACGCGCGCAGAGCAGTCCATACTAGCGTAGTTGAAACGGTCTGTTATTGGGACGCGGAAGTGAGGTGCGTCCAAGGGTGCACTGTGCGTGAAGACCTCGGCCGGAGCAGCGGATGGGTTATCCCCTCGTTCGGACGTCCACTCGTTCCCGTTAGCGTCCTTGTCTTGAGTTTTTTTGCCCTGCTGTTGCTCCGCTTGTTTAACTGTTTGCTTCTCTTTCCACTCCTCGAAAGACAGAAGCATCTCGTCCTGAATGGGCTCCGATGACGGCAACGGCCTCAGACAACAAACTGGAGGTTCCGGTGGCTTCACACGCCGCTCTGCAAGCGCCTTGAAGAGATCATTTGTCGTAGACAACGACACGGCGGCAAAAGCAGGCGATGCCAGAGCGAGAACCAAGAAGAAACACATGGCAATTTTCCAATGGTCCTCTGTTGCGCAAGACTGGCGCTGTGGGCGTGTCAAATAAGTGGACATCTTCCACTACGCGTTTAATAAACATAAGAAAGAAGCGCGTTCAATTCTTGGCGGACAAACTGACGCTAGGGTATCCGGAATTGAATGCGAGTATTCCAGACGTGGGGAGCGTCAATGCATGATTTCGGCCCTCTGACACGCGCAAGTTGATCGGAATATTGATCCCATCAGTACCCATTGCTAACTTATCCATGGCCAATACCACAGTCAGCGGAGCTCAGTCGATTCACGGTCAGAATCCCCAGGTTCGTTGAGATTATCTTTTCAGACGCTATAATGTGATGAATCCCTAGTTTTTAGTTGAAACTGTTATTCGAAATCGTATCTGGGAGTCAATATTTTGGAAGGAGCACTGTTTCGCGCTCACCGGTGCGTGTTTGCTCATTCTTATTTTTCGGAGCTAATTGAGCGAGCCAGCCGAAAGTCTGATTGATAAGGCTATTGAAGTGAACTATATTGGGGGCGTGTATGGCAACCAGAGGCCCACCGAATTTCTGTGTTTGCTCCTCAAGTTATTGCAAATCCAACCCGAGAAGGAGATCCTCATCGAATACATGCAAGCTGAAGAGTTCAAGTGAGTCTGCGACCGCCGCATGATGCGCCTGTTTCTCATTCGCGTCTGGCAGGTATCTTCGGGCCTTAGCAGCATTCTATGTGCGCATGACGTTCAAGCCAGTCGAGGTGTATGAATTGCTAGAGCCACTACTGAAAGACTATCGAAAATTACGATTACGCAACATGGGTATGTACTCCTCATCACACTGGAAAGAGGCATTCTGACATAGTGTCCAGCTGGATATAATCTGACTTTCATGGACGAGTTTATTGATCAACTGCTCACGGATGAACGAGTCTGTGACATCATTTTGCCGCGCTTGACGAAGCGCGGTGTGCTGGAGGAGAATGGAGATATAGGTCCGCGCAGAAGTCGATTGTTGGACGCTATGGAGGGCAAAAGCGAACACGGGAGTGAGCGTGATGACAGCCGAACTTCTAGTCGAGGTCGCAGCCTCAATGGGAGTGAACGCACAGCGTCCGACGCAGGATCACGCTATGTTTCGCGTAGCCCAACTCGTTCGAGATCTCGCTCAGACTCTCCCGGTTATCGCTCGAGAAGTCGAAGTATTTCGCCAGATCGAATGGATACCGACCCAGCGTAGGGGAGAGACAGTATACGTGTATTGTGCAAAAGGATTAAGCATCATCTTGTTTCACGAGCCCACTGAGGTCTTTGGTTGTTCTGCGGAGATGAGGATGAAAAGAACATGAGCGCAGGAAAGCAGATGCGTTTTGTTGTGACGCACTCGACAGGAATGCCCAGGACATCTATCCCATCTATTCGAGTTTCTTCCGCTCCCCCGTGATTGGACGCTACGAAAATCTGCAAGTAGAGCTTTAATGATAAAATCTTGCAGCGTCGTGAGAGAAGGCGTTACATGGAGACTGCCCACAGTCTGAAAGCGGACATAACGCAGCGCGATCGGATGCCCTTGCTTCAGATCCTCCAAACTTAGATCGAATGTCTGTGCCACTTCAGGCTCTTCCGAGTCCTCCACATCCTCGAATCCTAATGCAGGACGGTTGACAACCAGTTTGACGCGTTTTGGCTGAAAGATTAGGCTTAGAACTGGGAAATGTCAATGAACAAGAGGACAAACAGCTTGATCCTCGACAGACGCCTTGATCACGATTGCACGAACGCGTACCGATTGGTTAAACTGGTCTCTGTTAACAGGCAATCCCAACCGGAGGTAGAAGTAGAACGTGCGGGTATGTTGAGCAGGAGCTGCTCATCAGCATCGCTGAGGAGATATCCAGGCGAAGTATTCAACGTTTTAGTGGTCAGGATAGACGAGATGGGGTGTTCAGAGGACTCGTTTAAACAATTGACCTGGGGATTGTCCAGATACTCCAGCAGAGAGATCTGTGCTCAATCAGCCAAGCATCACGAGCTCCGATACTCAAGCTAACATCGTCCTTGATCGTGGTCATGGTTGAGGTGAAGCAACTTATATGCGTGTTAGGTCACGAGTTCATGCGCACAATTATCAAGATGAAATCTAAGCTACGATACAGTCGTCTCTGGCCTCTTGACGAGTGGGTCGAGCACCTGGTCCTCGTTTCGTTCCCATCCGCTTCATCTCCGTCAGCCTGTTCATGGCGCGCTTGTTCCCCTGGGCTTCACGGCGTGGTCAATGACAACACAGGGGGAGCAGATATGAAGGACTCACCAGCAGCTCGCATATACCAACGTTTTGCAAATTCGACGTCTTGCTTGATCCCAATCCCGACCTCTGCATAGTATCCGACGGCATATTCAGCCTTGCTGAGGCCCTTGTTTGCCGCGCGCCTGGCCCACAGATACGCTTCCGAATCGCTCTGCTTGAGAACATTCTCGCTTCCCGTGAGATACCATCCGCTAAGAGCCAATTCCGCTTCTGGATCCCCCTTTTCTGCGGCCTTAGTGTACCAAGCGATGGAACGTCGTGGATCCATCAGACATGTGAGTGAGCCATACTCGTAGCATTGTCCCAGTTTGAATTGCGAGGGTGCATATCCGAGATGGGCGGCACGTGTAAAGAGATTCTTGGAAGCAACATGGTCTTGGGGAACGACCTCACCCGTTTCATGCAACAAGGCAAGTTCGTGGAGCGCATGCGGATTCTCTTCATCGGCCTGCTCAGCGGCACGACGCAACCAATTGATAGCTTCGCGGGGATTCTTCGGCTCGCCGAGTGCGCCGTGCAGAAGAATCATCCCGAGCTTGTACATGGCGGGAGTGTCCCCAAGGGAAGCTGCTTTCCGGTAGAACGAAGCAGCACGTTGTGGCTCTTTCCGGGTGCCAGCGCCGATCTCGTTGCACACCGCCACTCGGTAAGAAGATGCTGCATGATTCTGCTTAGCTGCCTGCAGATAAAGATGATAAGCACGCTCGTGGTCGACTTGCAGTCCAAGAGAACCCGTCCCATAGCAGTTGGCCAGATAGAATTGGGCCTCGTCGTAGGCGTCTCCCTGCGTCGCCAGTCGACGAATAACTTTGAGAGCCTCCGTAATCAAAACCTCGCTATACTTTTTGGCCGACTTCTGATCTTTGGCCGTCTGACGGATGGTTTTCGCAGCATCTACCAGATATTTCGCATACAGGAAATGTGATTCGGGGTCAGGATCGGCCTTGATTCGTTGTCTGTACTGATCAATATACTCCTTTGTATACGGAGGAGCACTGAGATCAACAGCTTTGCTCTTGACGGAGGGCGGGGCAGAGCTGAATGTATTCTCGCGATTCATTTGAGGTCTGAGTTCGAAGTCTGAGCTGTCGGCGGTATACTGTGAGGGAGGCGGATATGAGTTGCCGGAATGGGTCGATGATGGGTATCGGGAAGAAACCAGGGATGTCTGGCTCGGCGCGTACTGGGCGTTGCCATATGGACCAGGAGGAGGAGGAGGCCGGTATCCGGGGTTGGGGTGACCTTGGGCATATTGGCCTGGTGGGGCCATACCCAAGACATTGGACGCTGCGGAATACAGATGGTTGGAGGCAGGCGAAGGCTGATTCCATGGCTGCTGGCCACCGTATGCGACTGGAGACTCGTAGCCTTGCGCGGGAGAATCGTACATCTGGGGCTCCCATCCCCGTTGCGGTGGAGGAACGTCATGCGGTTGTTGGTCATACAAGGCTTGGTCGTAGTAACCATTGGCACCACACGCAGGATCCTGTGCGTTTGACTCATACGCAGTCTCGTAGGTGGTTTGGGAATCGTAAGATGCGGCAGACTCGTGTGAGGGTTGTGTAGAGGGATCGTGATGATAAACGTCCTGTTGGGCCGGATAGTCTGGGTCGCGCGGAGAGGTCTGTTGATATGGAGGAGAAGTCGTTCTGTGTTCGGGTTGAAAGACGGGGGGGATATTCATCGGAGTGGGAACACTCTGTGCGTGTCGCGGCGAGCGAGGGAGAGCTGGACCGCGCATGGACATGGACGACGCAGCCCGAGTGACCGGAGTGGACTGGTCGTCAATCCGAAGTCGCGCAAGGACGTCTGCGGGGTCTTGTTGCTGCGCATCTGCGGCCATAGTGGTGGATATTTTGAGGATCGAGGCTGAGGCGCAGATCAGCCCCTCTTGATGTTTTGATGACGCTATGATCGGAGACTTGTAGCACCCAACCCTCACTGGTCATACCTTATCGTTTTGGCCTGAATGGACGCCCTCAGTATCCTTCAGGCTCTTCTGTCGACACTCTTCCGCCTCGCGGCCTTCGTTTTATTACGAATTATTCCATCGCCGCTTGCATTGCGAGCGTTGGTAGCGTTGGGGCTGGCCTACCTATCCATCCTCTGCATCGGTGCTAGACATACTCCCACCGAGGATATTATACCACTTGGTTCGCTGGTGCTCTCTCTTCCCACGAACTCTGCTGCTCTTCGCCGGGCCAATATTCTCATCAACGTTGCGCTTGCTCTTATGGTGGTCGAATTTGTTGGCACACCATATCTGGACCCAGCCTTTGACGTCACCTTTTCACGTATCGGTGCGGTTACCTCTGATAGTGTCAAGGTCACAGTGCGGTCGCCGAGCACCAACGACACTGGGCTTGTACTTTGGCGAGAAAAGATGGAGTCAGAGCCATTCAACTCGTGGAGGAACGGCCCTGGCCTCGTGTTTACCTCAGAGGCGGATTGGGTCACTACGGTCAGGCTTTCCGGTCTTTGGCCAAATACTAGCTACGAGTGTGCGTTCTTCTCAGGAAATCGGGTTATTCGCTTAACCTCGCCACCTTTTTCAGATGCCGTCGCCGACGAGAATCGGACCATCACCTCAGGACCGTTTGTGTTCCGCACTTTCCCCGACTCTCGACTGACGACTGGGTCTCACTTCCGTTTCGTCGCATCTTCATGCCTGACTCCCAACTTCCCTTATGTGCCGTTCCATGGACGGTCCATCAAAGGCTTCGATCTCCTCGCTCAGTATTTATACCCGGTTGTGCAGCCAGAGGATCCACTGCCGCCTGCTGAATTTATGCTTCTTTTGGGCGACTTCGTATAGTCCGTTGTCTCTTCAGCCCTGTTGTCTTGATTGAGACTGATCTGTGTTCTTAGCAGTGACATTCCGACCTATGTCGGGGATAAC